CCGAGCCGCTCCGATTACAACGAGAGTTACAACGAGAACGTGACGTCATATTTACACAAGACGGATCCTTTCTAGCCATAACCCTTATTGATGTTGCTTTGTCAAGAAAAAGGAAAAAGACAGTAAAACGATTGAACTACGTATGAACATGTACCCTGAAGTTGAAATGTGATCTCTCTGCAGGGCCTCTCAGTCTGAAGGGGTTTCTAATTCAAACCCTTCTCCCTCTGCAGCGTCCCCCCCTCCAGAGTGTCCGATGCACAAAGCAGACCCAGGACCAGCTCACCAGGAGAGAGCCTATGAGTTTGTGGCGTGTCCCATGAAGGGATCGGAGGAGAAGAGCGACATCGACCCCTCCAACATGGTACCTGAGAGCAAGAGGATTACATCATGGTCTCTCCCCCTCTGTAGCCCCATATTCAATTCAAAGTGTCTCCCCTGCAGATGCCACCCCCGAACCAGACCCCCGCCAAGGACCAGCCCTTCGACCTGGACCGGATCAGAGAGGAGTCGACCATCCCTCGCCACGACTCTGGGAACAAGTGGGTGTACCCGTCAGAGCAGATGTTCTGGAACGCCATGCTGCGCAAAGGGTGCGTTCAATCATCCAGACCACCTTCAGACCTCTGGAGCAATACCCTCATCTCTCTAGTTTGAACTGTCAGCATGCCTGAAACCTGACTGCTTGAATGCTTCCCCTGTAATACACAACTTCCTCCTGTAATACCCACTGTGTCCTGCAGGTGGCGCTGGCGTGAAGACGACCTCGGAGCTCAGGATATGACGAACATCATCAAGATCCACAACACCAACAACGAACAGGCCTGGCAGGAGATCCTCAAGTGGGAGGCCATGCACGCTGGGTGAGGACACTGAGCAACATACACCTGTACTCTGAAGCATCTGGGGAGTACTGAAGAGTACACGATACACCTGTACTCTATCTGGGGAGTACTGAAGAGTACACGATATACCTGTATTCTGAAGCATCTGGGGAGTACTGAAGAGTACACGATACACCTGTACTCTGACTTATCTGTGAAGTACTGCAGAGAACATACACCTGTGCTCAATCTGTGAAGTATCTGAAGTACTTCAGAGTTTCTAACGCTCTTGTGTTCCTCAGGGAGTGTCCGTGCGGTCCCACTCTGAAGAGATTTGGAGGGAAAGCCAAAGACTTTTCCCCCAGAGCTCGAATGCGCCACTGGATGGGGTGAGAAGCTTTTATTCATCGACTTTAACTGAGAAATACAGCTTTCATTGATCAGATACAAGCTTCAGATCATGTGTTATGAGTCACACATATTACAACCTGTTTCTCTACTCTGATGTAGCTTCCACTCATTTAAGGCGCATTTCCACTGCAGGGCCTCGCTCGGCTTAGTACGGTATGGTTAGGCCTCGTTAGGCCAGGCTCACTTTATGCTGCGTTTCCATTACAGTTTAGGAACTGGGGCAGTAACTATAGTAACGCAGTGTAGGCGGAGCCGTGACGTCATCTTCAATGAGAAACATAAAACCAACATCAGCCGTTAGCTGTTAGCCCTCAGAGTTCACAGCTCCTCATGTCTGTTCAGAAACTAGACAGAAGTTAAACAAGTCCAAACCACAGACTGTCTGTGTCATGGAGAATACAGTCGCTGGTTTATTTATGTCTGTAGGCCGTTGTTGTGAGTGTGGACGGTCGTTAGCTTAGCCGATCTCCATTCAGAAAACACGCTTTAAAAGGTATTTCTCCTGCCGTCTGTCTGCAGACTTGCCAAAGCATTAATTCATGGTTTTTACTAACCGGTCATTTTGAAACGTGTATTACAATTAAATCACGGTCAAATATGTTCATCTTGTTGTAGTTGCCAGAGATTCTGGAGAGCCAGGAAACTGTGAAAAAGTACCCGCTAGCCAGAACTACCTCAAGTGGACACGCAACCAAAAACGGGCCGGGCACAGCACACTTAAACCGCGCTCCGCACTGTAGTGGAAATGCGCCATTAGTAACACAAAAGAGGGCTGACTGTCGTTATGGATGAATCTGACTAAGATACACGTCCACCAGTTTCTCCAGTTTGTATCCCAAACATGAGCTCTTTAATACTCCCGTTATTAACTTCCTCCTCTTCCTTCTCTTCCTCCTCCTCATCAGATACGAGCTCCCTTTCGACCGTCACGATTGGATCATTGATCGCTGTGGGCGGGAGGTTCGTTACATTATTGATTACTACGACGGAGAGATCAACAGGGAGAATTATCGCTTCTCCACTCTGGACGTCCGCCCAGCCGTCGACTCTTTAGGAGCCGTGTGGGACCGCATGAAGGTCACCTGGTGGCGCTGGTCCTCCTAAAGAGACACCTGGACACCTGGAGGACACACCTGACGTCCTGAAGGAGACACCTGGACACCTGGAGGAGACCTCAGGAAATATTACGTCTCCTTTAGGACATCTAAAGAAGACATCTGGACGTCCTGAAGGAGACGTCCTGTGTCCTAAAGGTGACACCTGGACACATGGACGTCTTAAGGAGACGTTATGTGTCCTGAAGGAGACGTCCATGTGTCCTAAAGGAGACTTCATGTGTCCTAAAGGAGTCAGGAACAGGAAATGGCCTAAGACAGTTTTGTCTCAGCATCATATCCTCTCTGAGAGTGTTTTTGGTTTTGTTGAATATTCTGTTCATCATGTCTTTCTTAGCTGATGTTCCTTAGACTGTTGTAGCTTCATCTCATCCGGCAGCTGTGAATCCATCAAGAGATCCAAACTAGAGACGTCTTTGAATCCATCAAGAGATCCAAACTAGAGACGTCTTTGAATCCATCAAGAGATCCAAACTAGAGACGTCTGTGAATCATCATCAGTCCAGCTCTAGAGAGGTCAGACCCAGAGGCGATGCATCATCTTACGGTTCATGGTAATAACTCTGATCATGTGGAAAGGATCCAAAGTGACCTGAGGTCAGTGTGCCGGCTTCAGGAGGGCGTGTGCAGGGTTTATAGGGAGAAATGAAATGTAATATTCATAATGATGTTATATAATAACCTGAGACTAAGGGTTTGAGCTGAAGGCCTTCACACACGGGATGCTCTCACGCTGTGGAGAGCAGAGAGAGGTCGAATCCTCTCCACTCGCTCAGACCTGGACTTCCCCTCTCATGCCTCTAAACCCTGCACACGCTCACATCATGCCGATCAGTGTGGTTTCCCTGCAGGATGCATACTGTGAAGTTATATTTGTGTACAGGACCAGGATGATAGGATATAGGGTTAACTCTGTAACCGAGTTAGAATCAGCACCTTTCATAAACTAGTAGCTCCAGAGTCAAGAGCCTTTGTTTGGATCTGCGCTATCAGCATTTAGTCTTTCTTTTGTATTTATTATCTGATGAACGAGTGTTTCCCTGTGAGCAGACTCCTTTCTTCTTGTATGTTAAACATTTTACTGGCTCTCAACTGAATTTAAATAAAGCTGCTCGTCTTTCTGCTTCTGAGTACACTTCATGTGTTAATGTGTGATCCTGCAGCTGGCCACCAGAGGGAGCTGTCTCCCTATAATCTCCACCCCAACTGCAGGGAGACAGAACCACACAAGAACATTTAGTGTGAGGCCCCTCTCCGTGTGAGGCCCCTCTCACGCCTGCAGGAACACAGCCAGTGCACATCGATTCTCTTTTGAAAATGATCCTTAAAGCCAGTTCCACCTGCAGCAGTTCTTCAGGTGTACTTTGCTGCTGTGGTGCAAACAAAGCCCACGTGCTTCTATCTCCCAATGCATGTCAATGTTCTGTAAACCCCTTCTGAATACAGCATGCATTTCACATCTACCAGAAAGACTTCCAGCTCCTTTCAGCTCCTCTACATAAAGTAACGTATATACGTCTGTTGTGTTTCCAGCTCTTAAAGACTGCTGTTACCTGGCAACTGGAAACAGCAGCTCCCGTGAAGCTGCAGAGCGTCTTCACCTGAACTCTAGCTGAGAGAAAGTAAATGAGTGGTGATCGTTATGTCGGCTGCTCTCATCCATGCAGGCGTGTTTCCTGACGGAGACACGTTGCTGAAGGACCGATGATTCTGACTCATTATTAACTTGAAGGTTTCTCTTCTCTCTACATCTGGAAAGGGCCTCTTTAACCCTCATGTTTCCACTGGGCTTCCAGTCGAGCAGCTTTAGGGTGGATTATGTTTGATAAGTTGACAAAGTGTTTTATCAAAAAGCAGATTCTCTTTTCAGTATTCATCCTTTATAACGTGGACACACTGCAGCGATTCTCACGGAGGAACACTGTGCGAGACTACAGGAACATCAGCAGGACCATAGATGGTCCAGTTCATTTGATGCACCTTAAAGGTGAGGTTTTGTGTGCACAGAGACACGTGCACAGTGCAGTAAGCATGTGCACGTGTCTCTGCAAGCATCGCTAATTCAGCTTCATTGTGAGTGTGCAAAGAAAGCTGAATAAAACCACTTTATTTCACACACTTCAATCTGAAATGCAGAATAACTGTGAGAGAGAGAGCGAGCGCAGTGTTATGGAGATCAGCTCGGAGAGATATGATAAATATCAGACTCTCAGAGCCGGGGGCTGTTTGGACATCTGCTGTGAAGCTATGTGGCACATGGGAAATCAACATGCACACATTATTTCAGAAAACACACACACACACACACACACTATTTAAAGGAGACGTCCACTCAGAGAGAGAGACGCCACGTTTCCTCCAAAGATGGCCGAACCAATGAGACGTCACGCTGAGAGTCATGTGTCCTAAATGTCAGCCGCCGGACCCCACATCAGGATGAAAGACATGTTTACCTCCAACACACACGCACACGCACACACACGCTTGCATTGCAGCAGCTACATGTTGCTCCATGCACCTTCTGAGGCTAAAGGTGTGTGTGTGTGTGTGTGTGTGTGTGTGTGTGTGTGTGTGTGTGTGTGTGTGTGTGTGTGTGTGTGTGTGTGTGTGTGTGTGTGTGTGTGTGTGTGTGTGCGCGTGTGTGTGTGCGCGCGTGCGTGCGCGCGCACACTCACTCCCAACCCGTCACATATTGACGGAGGGTCAGGGCCCCTCCCCGTCACTCTATGACGTACAGGGTACTACTACCCCTTGGAAGTCAGTGTTCAATGACTTCATTGACCTACATAGAGCTCCCTGAACGTTGGTAATAGAGGAGTTGGGATCGCGGCGAAATGCTCTCCTCAGATCCATTCTCACAGCATTTATCACCCTTTTTCTTACTCAATATCAAGCCACATTAATTGTTTTTACTTCTTTATTTTAATTGAATAATGTAGGACTTTTGTTGCCGTCAGTTATGGGGAGAGTAGGGGCTCAGAATACTGAAATCTGTATTGTTTCATCGTTTTTTCCTTCTAACTTTGTATTCTTTTCTAAACCACACACTGTTATTTACTCAACAATAACACATAATTATCCTTGTGTTTATTTATTTGTTTGATTAATAAACACAAGTTGGAGTCCGTCAGGACCGAGGGTCGGAGCAGCTTAGAGAATTTTACACCCGGAAGTAAGTATTCTCTCCGCTTTGCTTGACAAACCCCGTAATAGTCCTGAAGCTCTGTAATT